AGCTGAAGGCAGACGCTTAATGACTGAACCACCCAGGCACCCCTAGTTATTTGTTTTTAAATTACAATTTTGTCTCTTTATTCTGTTTTTACAAGAAAGTGAACATGACTGGAATATAAATGTGAAAAGTTTCCAAGTAATATTCTGAGTTCATTGCATAATTTAAACCCATATCTTCTATATCTATTCTAAACTAGAAAACTTGGGGTGCCTGGGTGGCTCAGTTGGTTAAGCGTCTGCCTTCCAACGGGTCATGGTCCCAGGGTCCTGGGATCAAGTCCTGCATCAAGCTCCCTGCTGGCGGGGAGCCTGCTTCTCCGTCTCTGCCCACCTGCCCCCCCAACGCTCCTGTGCTCTCTCTCTCTATATCTCAAATAAATAAATAAAATCTTTAAAAAAATAAACTAGAAAACTTGTTGCAATTCTGTTCTTCTTCCCCCCTTATTATAGTGGTTTGTTGTTGTTGATTGCGGTCAAATAAACATATAAACATAACAAAACTTACCATTTTAATCATTTCTAAGTGTACAGTTCAGTGGCATTAAGTATATCCACATTCTTGGGCACCATGACCACCATATGTCTCCAGAACTTTTTAGTTTTCCCAAATTGAAACTCTGTACCCATTAAACAATAACTCCCCATTCCCTCTGCCCCAGGCCCTGGGTAACCACCATTCCACTTTGTCTCTGTGAATTTGTCCAGGTGCCCCAGATCAGTGGAACGATACAGTGTTGGTGCTTTTTTTCTGGTTTGTTTCACTTAGCATCCTGTCTTCAGGATGTTGTGGCGTGTATCAGAATTTCATGCCTTTTTAAGGTTGAAAAATATCCCATTGTATATACACACCACCTTATATCTACCCAGTCACCCATTGGCAGACATTTAGTTTGGTGAATGTGAATAATGCTGCTATGACCGGGGGTGAACAAGTATCTGTTCAAGTCTGCTTTCAATTCCTTTGGATACATGCTCCAAAATGGGATTGCTAGGTCTTATGGTAATTCTTTGTTTGATTAACTAATTAATTACACATTAATTACACGTTAAATTCATGGGGGTTTTTTGAGGACCCTCCATACTGTCCTCCACAGTGGCTGCAGTATTTTACGTTCCTGTCAGCAATGCACAAGGATTCCAATTTCTCCACATCCTTGCCCACACTTGGCATTTTCTGTCTGTTTGTTTTTATTTATTTTTAAGATTTTATTTATTTGAGAGAGATAGAGAGAAAGAGCAGTGGGGAGGGGCAGAGGGAGGGAGAGAACCAGACTCCCTGCTAAGCAGGAAGCCCGAGATCATGACCTGAGCCAAAGGCAGATGCCCAACTGACCGAGCCACCCAGGAGCCCCTGTTTGTTTGTTTCTATTTTATTTTATTTTTTTTTAAAGATTTTAAGAACATTTATTTGAGAGAGAGAGCAGAGTGAGAGAGAACACAAGTGGGGAAGAGAGGCAAAGGGAGAGGGAGAAGCAGGCCACATGAAGCCACACCCATTGCTGAGCATTTCACTTCTGGTATCTGCACTAATGAGATCCAGGCAGCTTTTGGGGCACCTTGCCTTTTTGTTTTTAAGATTTTATTTATTTATTTATGTAAGGAGAGAGCAGGGGGAGGGGTAGAGGGAGAAGGAAAGAGAGAATCTCCAGCAGACTCCGAGCTGAGCGCGGAGCCTGACTTGGGGCTCAGTCTTACAACCCTGAGCTCATGACCTGAGCCTTAACCAACTGAGCCACCCAGGCACCCCAGGGGGCACCTTGCTTTTTGTGATGATTGATCCCAGGGCTGACCATCAACCTCTCAGAGGCATTTTCTGTTCACTTGTCCATTCTAGGTCTATGTATATCAGACTTCTCTCTCCTTCGTGTGGATGTTGCCATCCCACATGACAACAGAAGAGCTCACTCAGCAGGTGTCTCCTAGTGGGTGCTTGCCCAGAAAATCCACTATATGGTGGCACTAACTTCTCCTAAGGCCCTTAGGAAGCTGTCCTTGTCATTAGGGTTGCTCACAAGTATTCCAGTTTTTCCAGGCATGTGGAGACGTCTCTGTTCTGCCCCCTTTGAAGTTAGGTCAGGTTATGGATTGGTCAATACAATGTGAGCAGAACTGTCACATGGAAACTCATATCGAGATGGAGCCTCTTCCCTGAGTGACTGGAAGGAGCAGACCACCCCCACTAGACATGCAGCATGAGTAAGAAACAGACCTTTGTTGTTATAAGCCACCTAAACTCGGGTGTTATTTGTTATCGCAACTTAACCTAGCCTATCCTGGCTGATATAGAAGCTATGAATGTCTACAGAGATCCAGAAGAGATTGAGAAGGACAAGCAGCGAGCAGCCTTTAGGATAGGAAGGAATTTCAGGATAAATGGGCTGCTCCAGCTCCTGAATTCAGTGTGCTCATTCCAAGGTTGCAGATAGTTCTGAAAGTAGGCAAGTACCCTTCATTCCTTTTTAGCAGTTCCTCTAGATACTGAGTGGTCTGACCTATTTCTGAAACTGGTCTGTAGTCCTATAGTCCAGGCCCTCACAAAGAAAACCATACCACTGAGTAGTCCTAAGCCATCCACTTCCAAAGTGTCTTAGACAAAATGCATAAATAAGGTTTATGGGCCTGGCACTGGGGTGCTATATATACAGTGTAAGAAATGGTCTTTACCCTCAATAGGCTTATACAGGTTGTCTCAGTGGAGTGGGGCCCATAATGTTTACATTAGGACTGAAGCAAGCTGGGGGGTGGGTGGGGACTGTATTGAACTGGTGAGTACATGTCTTATCCAAAGGGGCAGCCATTTGCTCAGGTCCAGTTGTTTCTTGTTCAAGGAACAGAGGCTCAGTATTGCTAGATTTCAGGAAAGTGGAAATCCATTTTTGCAGGAGAAATTTGTTGTTGTTGTGCCAAACTAAGCATACACATCTGGCTGGATTTGATCTGTTTGTGGATGTTGCAGTAGTCCTCAGGATGGGTTCTGGAGTTCTAGGTTTGAATCCTGGCTCTACCACAGGACACAGAGGAGACAATCCTGTGGGAGCCAAGGATTTCCTGATAAGGTGGGAAATGGAAGGAGCCTCAGTACAGCCTCAGGCCAGTCCCTGCAAACTTAAGACCACACTACACTGGCCAGAGTTAACTTCCCCGACAGAAAAACCACACCCACCAAGTCTTCCACAGGGCCCTCTAACCCCTCTTCTGTCAAACACAGAAGAGAGAGGAGAGCAGGGGTGCTGGCTTGGGGTCAGAAGTGAGTAGTTTTCCGGGCAGAGTTGGAAGATCAAGAAGGCAGGTAAAAAGGCACAAAGGTGGGAAGCCGTCTCATTTGCTTTGGCAGCTGAGACGTCTAGAGGGATACCTCCAAGCCGGGTTGGAGCTCAGGCTGCGCAGTACGCACCACCTACAACTTCAGGCTGAGGAATCTGGCCAGGCTGCAGGACCTCAGTCAAATGGAGAATGGGCGCCCCCTGGGAGCAGTGCTCGGTAGTGGACGCTGGACGACTCAGATGAGGGGGGGCGGGAGGTGGTAGTGGAGGAGGGGGTGCGGCTCAAGATGGGGACCGACTGCCTGCCACAGTTTTCTTCTCACATCAGCTAACCCCTTCCGGCATGATGGATTCCTGGGATCCCAGAAGAGCTGGGCAGGAAGGGACCTCGAAAAAGGAACTACCAACACGTGCCCCGTGTCAGGCCCTCAGCTGGGCACTTTCGTGAACATTGTCCTAACACACCTATTATCCCCATTTTTCAGATGAGAAAACCGAGGTTTGATGGCTTCCCAAGGAGGGGCGATTTTGTATGACTTCCGAGCCTCTTCCCTGGAGTCCTCACGACCTGGAAGATACCGATTCCATGAGGTTTGGGGGAACAAGCATCGGGTGTGAGGCGCCCAAGCTTTCCGAGGGGACAACAGCGTGATGGTACTTTCGGCGAGAACCACGCCTCCCTTGTCGCGACAATACTGATTACTGTTGCTTTCCTTTAAGAGCCTTACCTTCACATATGAAGTCCTTGCCACACGCGGGGGCGGACATTATATATTCCTTAGATCTCCCGGACGTCTTTCTCCTTCACCCGCACTGAGCCCCACTAGTGACATAAATTCTACCCCTCCACTAGCGAGTGGAGGCGTGGGACTACAACTCCCGGCAGGTCGTTCAGAAAGAGACGGTGGGGAGAGGAGGACAGACACTCTCGCTTTCCGTAGGCTCGCAATTGGCGTGTCCGCCGTGATGCACATTTCAACAGCCCTCGTCCTTTCTCTGGAGAGCTAAGGAAGGGACTACGTCCCCCAGCAGGCACTGCCGCAGAGAACAAGCGATGGGCCGCCATCATCATTGTAGTCCTTTCCCGCGTTTCCACAAGGGAACAGCCTTAGTGCATGGACTACAAATCCCAGGTCGCCGTCTCCCCTTCCCTTCGGCCGCCATCTTTGCTGGTTGTCCCCGCCCCTTTCCCCTTCCATTGTCTCGACCAAAGATAATAGAGCCAAGCTGGGAAGACTGCAACTCCCGTCAGGCTCTGCACCACCGGGAGGGGGATTTCGATGTTTCAGGCGGGCGAGGTGCCCAAGGTGGTAGAATGAGGCGACGGGGAGAGGCCAGGTAGCCTGCCATCTTTATGGTAGTCTCCTTATTCTCGTGGTTCCGCCATTCTTAAGGCACACTAGAAGGCTAGAAAACTACTATTCCCATCGCACCTCAAAAGACGGACTACTAGTCAGGTGTACGCCCCTCTTCCACCATCTTGCTTGTAGTTCTCGTTCCTTTTCACCTTTCCATTGTTCCTGACGAGTAGAAATGGCAGCGGGAAGGCAGCAGATGGACTGCGACTCCCGTCAGGTACCACACACGCGGAGGGTTGTGGACAGGAGGGCGTGTGAGTGCCTGGGAAGGAGGTCGGGTCGGGGGAGAAGGCCATCTTGTTTGTAGTCATCGTTCCCGCTCCTTCTCTATCCTCTGCAACGGGGAGCCTCGGGGCAACCGGACTATAACTCCCGGCACCCTCGGCTCCCGGCTTGGCACGCCCTCCGCCATCTTCTTTGTAGTCCCCGCTGGCCCCAGCATCCCATTGTTCCCACAGTGTCACAGGCGTCCGCAGGACTACGATTTCCGTCGTGCCCTGCGCGTGTTCGTCCTGGAAAGTGGAGGTGGTGGGGAGAGGAGGGGGCAGGGGGCGGGGTTCCTCTGGGAGAAGGAGGGAGTAAAGAGGAGGAGGAGGAGGAGGGAAGGAGGAGGGAGGGGTGGGGGAAGAGAGGAGGAAGGAGGAAGGAGCTCAGGAGGGATGAGAGAGGCGGCCAGGGCCCCGGGCCGAAGCAGCGCGGGGCCGGGGGACCAGGGGGGCTGAGGCACCCCAACTGCCCCTCCCCCTTTCCCTGCCCCCTTCCATCCTTTCCTTCCACTCTCCGGCTTGAGGAAGGGGATTTATTCAAATTTTATTTAAATCCCTATCTCTGGAGGGTCGCGCGCTGGGGGGAGGGGGAGAGGGCGGGGGCGCGCGCAGGCTGGGGGGGCGGGGCCGGAGCAGCTTCCTTCACCCCCCTCCACTCGCCCGGTAGCCCTAGGGCAGGGGGCCGCAGTCTAGGGGCGGGCCCAGGGGAGGGGGGCAGGTTACAGGGACCCCCCCCTCCCCGGGAACCGGCGGTGGGCGGGGCTTGAACCCCGGAAACGGTGGGGGGCCCAGGCCTGGCCCTGGACCCCTGGGCAGTGGGGGCCGGGAAGGGGCCAGTTAAAGGGCCGGGGGCGCTGGGGAGAGGCGGGGTGGGGGGAGGGGAGCTGTGACTCGGACCCGGGACTGAGTGGGGCCCGGGCAGAAGCTGAGCACCCTGCGCCCGAGAAGCCCCCGTTGGCTTGGGGGGGCTGAGGGACTGAGCCCCCCAGAGAAGGACCTCCCCCTGGAAGGGCCGCGCCGCAGCCCGTGGGAGGGCCTCGCCCCCGGCGCCCCCCATCTCCACTCGCCGCCGTCCCGGCCTCCGCCGGAGGGAGGGGCCGAGCGCCCTCGGGGGGCCGTGGACCCCGGCGTTCTGAGCGTTCCGCGCCCCGCGCCGCCCGGCCCCCCCGCCGCCGATGGCCGCCGACCCGCCGGGAGCTGCCGAGAAGGGAGAGATGGCTCCCGGGACACGTGTGAGGTGGGTTCATGCGGCTCCTCCTCACCCCCAGACCTGGGCAGCTCCCACTCCCATTCATCCTCAGCCCGGCCTCTCTCTACCTTCCCCGCCCCCAGCCTCGCCCTCTCTTTGCTCCAAACTCCTCTCATCTCCAGCCCTCCTTCCTGTTACCTCTCAACCCTGGGGAACTGGCCTTCCTTCCTAGACCCTGCTTCCCCTTGCAGACCCCCATCCCCGCCTGCAGTCGCCGCCCTCCAGGCCCCTCCCCTGGAGCGCTGGAGGGCCCCTTCCCCCCATGGATGGGTCTGGAAGTCCCTGGAAAGGGGGAAGCTAGGGTAAGACTCTGGCCACGAAGAGACCCCCTCCAGGCCTGCTGAGTCTGTATGGGATCTTGGAGGATCTGGTTTCCATGGGAAGGGGAGCCCAAGGGATTCTAGACAATTAAGGATGGAAAAGTAGCCTGGGAAGCTTGGGGGTGGGGGAGAAGACATGTAGGACTGAGCCCATCCTGAGTTCTGTGGAGATGTCAGGGTGGATTCTAGAATCCCAGGGAATCTGGGAGATTGCCCAGGCTGACCTGAGAGATCCAAGAGGAGGATGTTTTGGGGCAGAGGGAGCTCTGTGGGGAGCAGAGCAGTTGAGATCTTGGGCTGAGGAGGGGCTCTGAAGCAGCATGGGGGGGGTGTCTCAGAGCCCTGGGGATGGGGGAGGGCAAGCATCCCATTGGATCTGTTGACAATGTATAGGTTTTGGGGGAAGAGAGATTGGGTGGTAGTTGTGTGTGAGAGAGAGAGAGAGAAAGAGAAAGGAGGGAGGAAGAAAGGTCTAGAGCTTCTACCCAGGAATTTGTGGGTATCTTGGAGGTAAGTCCAGGGGAATTTTAGGTGGAGTGCATTTGGATACCAGGGGAAGAGTTGGGGCCTCTCTAAGCTAACTCCACGAACTAGGAGCCCTGGCTCTCCAAGGAGCTTTGGTGTGGGGATGTCAGTGCAGAGTCCCAGTCTCTTTCCCTCCCGGCGAGGCAAGGGGATGCTGAGGAAGTGTTAGAGGAAAGAGGAGTGAGGTCAGGAAGCCAGTTCTCAGGTTCCCAGAGGAGCCAGGTGAGCGCTTTGGAGAGAGAGGCCTTGAGTAGAGGGAGTGGTGCCCCCCCCCCCCCAGGAGGGACAGTCTCCTTGTTCCTTGCCTCCCCGGGGTAGGAGAGCCAGCTCTGGCTGCCTAGGAATGGGGGGAGCTACCAGGAGTTTCCCAGGCCAGGGCCTCAGCGGGCCCACCTGACCCTGCTTTCGTTCACCCACAGCCCTCGGCGTTGCTGACGCCCCCAATGTCGTCGAGCAGCCGGGGGCCGGGGGCCGGAGCGCGCCGACGCCGAACCCGCTGCCGCCGCTGCCGGGCCTGTGTGCGCACTGAGTGCGGGGACTGCCACTTCTGCAGAGACATGAAGAAGTTCGGGGGGCCCGGGCGCATGAAGCAGTCGTGCCTGCTCCGGCAGTGCACTGCCGTGAGTTCTGCCCCCAGCACACCTGACACCCCCGGGGCTTTGGGTGCCCTTCCCCAGCCGGCCCACGCACCTTTCTGGGCCGGCTGCTTCCTAGCACACACTGTAGAGTTGCTGTCTGTTCAAATGTCCACCAGGCCCGTTTTTGTCTCCAGTTGCGAGCGGGGGGCGATGTTAGGGCACCCAGAAGAATCTAACCCCGTGCTTACCTTCGTGTTTTTCCCGGCTTGAGAGGCACAGACGCATAGAGAGCTCAGCTCAGCCCCTCTTGTGCTCCTTCCTGGAGGAATCTGCGCACAGGGGCGCACTTCCAGAGCTGGCCCAAGGGAATAGGTCTTAGCCTTCCGGCCTTTTCCTCACCTGCCAGAGTGGTCTCGGATTTGAGGCCAGGCTTACCCTTTGTGTGACCTTGAACAGACACTTTGAACCTCAAGGTACCTTTCCTGTGAAAGATTTCCTTTGCTGAGTCGTAAAGATGAAGCAAGAGCATGGATGTGAGTGTGCCCAGCACACAGTAGGTATCAGAGAACATGAGTTTCTTCCTTTGAGCCCCCTTTGTGGCCCTTCTCCAGCAGCCTTGAGGAGCCAGCTGCATCCTGCACGCCCCCCCCGGAGGACCGCCACCTCGTTTTTCCTCCAGCCCTTCTGCTGCCTCTTCACCCTACAGCCCCCCTCTTCTCTTTCTTTGTCCTCCAACCCTTGCCTCACTTTCCTTTTCTTCCTTTCCCTACCTCCTTTTTCCTTGGGCCTGTCTCCCAACCTTCAGCATCCCTCACGTGACTCCGTATTACCCTGCCTTCCCCCCGCCCCCGCAAAGTCAAGTTGTCTGAGGGCTGCTCTCCCCTAGGACCAGCCAGCTGCCTTTAGCACGCCCAGGAGTCTTGCCAAAACCTGATTCATTGTAGGGTCCAGAGCAACCCTTGGGCTGCCCATTGTGCAAACTCAGAATCATCCCAAGCTGCGGCCACAGCCCCTGCAGCTCTCTAGCTCTCTCTTTCAACAGTATTGTCCTGTTTGCCACGGTTTCTATCCTTCCCCAAAGCCAGCACCAGTTTCAGGGTCACACACACAGACCCTGACTCCAGCTGCAACATTTGCAACAGCGATAACAACTATGTATCCAGTGCGTCCCCGAGTGATCTCATTCTTCCCGAGGTCTTGCAAAGGAAAAATGCCTAGCCCCATTTTACAGATGGAGAAACAGACATAAGGAGGTTAAATCACTTGCTCAAGGTCATACTGCCAAAAAGGAACAGATTCAAGATTTGACCTAGCTTGACCCATGGGTTCTGAACCTCATCCAGCAGCTGGCCAGGCTCCCGAGAAGAAAGGGTCTTCCCCCTGTCGCTTGCTTTCGGGGTCCCTAATACTCCCTCTTCCCCAACAGCCCGTGCTCCCACACACAGCTGTGTGCCTCTTGTGTGGGGAGGCTGGGAAGGAGGACACAGTAGAGGGAGAGGAAGAGAAATTTGGTTTGAGCCTCATGGAGTGTACAATCTGCAATGAGATCGTCCACCCTGGCTGCCTGAAGGTGATGGCCTTGGGGGCCCTGGAGTCTGAAGGTGATGGCCCTGGGGAGCGCTGCCTCTGGGTTTACTGGCACCCTACATCCACTCCCTGCCCTCTGCCTACAGATGGGGAAGGCTGAGGGTGTCATCAATGCGGAGATCCCTAACTGCTGGGAGTGCCCTCGCTGCACCCAGGAAGGCCGGACCAGCAAGGTAGGGGTAGGGGCTGGGCTGGGTGCTGGGTTCTGCGTAGACAGTGGGTTGGGGAGCTGGAGAGAACCTCAACCCCAGCTTCCATCTCCCCAGGATTCAGGTGAGGGACCAGGCCGCCGCAGGGCTGACAACGGCGAGGAGGGCGCCAGCCTGGGGAGTGGATGGAAGCTGACGGAGGAGCCGCCGCTTCCACCACCCCCACCCAGGCGCAAGGGCCCCTTACCTGCTGGGCCCCCCCCAGAGGACGTGCCTGGGCCCCCCAAAAGAAAGGAGAGGGAGGCAGGGAATGAGCCCCCCACCCCAAGGAAAAAGGTGAGCCAGGGAGCATGCTCATTAGGTCCCGCCCAGGGGATTCTGGGAGCGGTAGTCTAGTTCCTTTTTGGGGAGGGTGGGCCTGGGAGGCTGTGCTCTGTGGGTTCTCCAAGGGGTTGTTGGGGGATGTAGTTTAGGAAATGTTGGGCGGGGGAGGGTGGAGCATGCTCGGTAGGGAGGGGAGGTACAGGTGAGGGGCACCTGGCCCTGGGCAGGGAAGCTTCGGGAGCCCTGGGTGCTTCAGGTAGGAGGGAGAGAGCATGCTCAAATTAGCTGCTACCGAGGAGGAAAGGAGGGGCTGGAAAGGGCCTGAGGGGGAAGAAAGAGAAGAGGAGAGCATGCTCAGTGAGCCAAGACACTGGTTGGGAAGGTGAGCATGCTCAGAGTTCTTCCTGAGATGTGGGCTTCTGGGATTTGTAGTCTAAGAAAAGAGCATGGATCTTAAGTTTTGTGAACGATGAGGGGCTAATGGGGCCTCTCCCTTTCCCCATATTTCCCTCTTGCCCTGGTAGGTGAAAGGAGGCCGAGAGAGGCACCTGAAGAAGGTGGGTGGAGACGCCTGCCTCCTCCGAGGATCGGACCCAGGCGGCCCCGGCCTTCTGCCCCCCAGGGTTCTGAATCCGAGCCAGGCTTTCTCGTCCTGCCACCCTGGGCTCCCTCCCGAGAACTGGGAGGTGTGCCGGGGACCTCCACCCTCCCCCTCCCATCTTTCCTTGCCCCACCCTCCACCCTGGAGACAGATCTGTCCCTTCCTGCTCACCTTGTCCTGCCCCTGCCCCATTTGGCCACAGTGGCATCTGGACCCCTGGGAAGAGTGGAGGGGGAGAGGTGGGTTGGGGCCAGGCCACAGGACTTTCCAGGAACCCCTGGGGTGTCGTCTGACCCATTTGCGTCATCTTTCCAAACCTTAAAGGGAAAAGAACTGAGTTCAAATCCCTGCCCACTGACTCCCTGTGTGGTCTTGGCAACTTGTCAGCTGCTCTGAGCCTCGGTTCCTCATCTGTGAAGGAGATGATACTACCTACCTTATCCACCCATCCCACAGAACTGTTTACATCTAATGAAAGTAAATGAGATTTGTGAACTGTGAAATGTACTTAGATTTGAGGAAGATGAGGCCCAGAGAGGTTAAAAGACTTGCCCAAGGTCCCACAGCAAAGCTAGAATTCAGATGTCACTTTGCACTGACACATGAATGCAAGGGTCTGCCTGATTGTGTTCAAATCCTGCTTCTGCCATTTGTCAGTCTGTAACCTCGGGCAAGTCACTTGGTCTCTCTGAGCCTCAGTTTCCTTGAGTGTAAGAAGAGTGGTCCAGGTTGCCACTCCGTTGGAGCGCTGTGAGGATGTGGGTCCGTGAGTATGAGGTGCTCTGTCATTCTCATATCGTTGAGTAGACACTTGGAATCACCTAGTCCAGCGTTTCGTGTTGTAGATGATGAGGCCGGGGCTTCCCAAGGTCACACAGAGAGGTGGTAGCCGAGTTGATACTCAAAACGATATCTCTAACTGTTCTCCGTATTTCACTGCCTTTGGAAACTCATAGACTATTGAAACCTGGAGGGCTTCTAATTCTTTGAATCAGTGCCTTCACGTGACAGATAAGGAGACTGAGGTCCAGAGAGCGACATGATGCGGCTGAGGCCTCACGTCGTTCAGGGGCAGAGCCATGGCTGGAGCCCAGGACTGTCTCGGGCTGCTCATC